GTGGAAATGGTCTAAAAAGCAGGGTCTGACATAAGAAGTCCTGTCTCTATTGTTAGTGGTCAGGCTGGAGGGGACCAGTGAACTACCAACCCTCCACTTGGGGGGTCAGGAGCATGCAGTGAGGACAGGCAGTCTGAGGAAATTTCTTTGAAGCAGACTTGAGATCAGGCTCCATCACAGAAACAAGTGTGTGGGATCAAAATAACCTACTGGCTCAGCCACTCTAGCCTACTGCCAACACCAAGTTACCCCTGTTGGCTATGTTGATTTCAATGTTTTTCCCAGTGTTTTCCTAATGGGATTTTCATGGCATATCTTAGAAAATTTTCCAATAGATTCCACTTCCCTAAAGTCTGCCCTGCTCTTTTGCCTACGATTTCCTGCTTAATACTCTTGTTCCCACTGAGATATCCCACCGTCCAACTCTAAATAAAGTGCTGTCTCAGTTGTCATCTCCACCTTTCAAACACATCTAGGGGTTTTCAGCCAGCTTCTCTCAGACTGTTTTTTACCTACATGGCATAGAATTATCCCTTTCAGACTTTTCTTAAGGCTTACTCAAGTCAATCCCTCTAGGCTCATAAAATGTTTTTTTCTTGCTAGTCCTTGGCCTCCTTCCAAACTGTCAATAACTTTCTAGGAACATGATGCCTGGGACTCAGGGCAGTTCTGCATGCTATGGATGTCTAATGATGGTAGGGGCAAGGAAAGGTCTTTGGCTGATGTCATGAGAGCAAAAGGAAATATTTCTCTGGGAAGTCTCAGGCTCTGACCGTACCAGATGGCGGACTGTAAAAAGACAGGGAAGATAGAATTTGGGCAAGGCTCATAGCTAGCTCTAACCAAACCTGAGTACAGAAGTTGGGTTCATAGCTGTTTGCAATGTGCGTTCCCCATGTCAGGTACTGTGTCAGGAGCAATGCCCCAGTTTACAATCACATCATGGAAATTACTTTCTTAGCTATAGTGGCATATCCATCCCACTGCTTTACCAGACATATTGAGCGGTCTATGAGGTGGGTCTGGCTGGCAGTCTTTGTTTCTCCACATAACAGAAACTGAAGGGAGGAGAACTTCCCATGAGGACTCAGAGGTGAAAGATCTAGGGTAGAGCCACTGCTATTCATCTCCCCCCTGCAAATTCTCTTCTCTTTCTGAGTGCAGAGAAAAGGCTGTTGCTATAGAAACCATTCTGGAAAATGTACATTATATCACGTTTTATATATTTTTCCAAGGACACCCTTTAATCTGAGCCTGCTACCATGTATTTTTACAGAAACAATAATGCTAAAAAAAACCCTAAACATAATACTGATTTCAAATCAAATCAGATAATCATCACTTACTTCAAAAACACCTCTGCCTGTAATCTTCTACTTTAGCCAAGCCACTGGCACAGGGCTAGCAAGCACAAAATGGTACCTCACAGGAGGGTAAATCTAAGGCAGCAAAAGGTGTGATGAGAGGTGGGGGGGTGGGTCCTACACAGCAGTAAGTGATGGTTAACATTTAGGAAGGACAAAAAAACCTAAATAAAATGTCTTCAGATTTGACTTGTGTGTAGAGAAGGATGAAATAAGGGTGAAAGGTACATTTCGTAGCGTACACTCTAGGCTACCTTTTCTCTTCTTTACCCATCCAACCTCCTATTGCCATCCTACTTTTGTGAGCCCCCTTCTGAAGCTCTTTTCTCTTCTGCTGCCCTTTTAAAAATTATCCCACCATTTCCTACTTGCCTTTGTGATAATAACAAGCCCTTCGGCCTCCCAGACAATCAGACCTATTGCACCCTGGGGTCTCAAGGAGACAATGCTCTTTGTGAGGCTGCACGATGAAAGCCTCTCTCTAGCATCAGGCTGGCCTGGTGGCAGCAGTCCTCCTGGGGATCCGTCAGAACAGAAGACTAATTTAGTCCTCTGGATGTCAAAACAGGCTTTCGCTCTGCCCTTCCCACCCTCAATTTATTTTTTACTTAATTCACCATGACCACTATTTCCTTCCTGATTTGTACTGACCCTGTGGCTTAATTAGATTTTTGTCATTATTTATACTAGCTCCTATAATGTGTTGACTTGTAATTTCTTCAGGACAAGGACTTTACTGCTGTGTAGAGCGAGGTACAAAATAAATCTCAGCCTTGTCTTGTTCCAGGGCTGTGATTGATCCTAAGTCAGGTATATGTCCCTGCTTGTTGTCCTGGAAGTAAGTACACAAAAAACATTAGCGAGGCTTTGTATCACTAATCCTAAGTTTTATACACTGCAATGTAGGACAAGGTAGCTATTGTAATAAAACAACTTAATTATGCTAGGTAAGACAAAGTAAGCATACACCTGCTCGCAGCATCTTTGCTGGACTGATCCCTTAGTCCAGACTTGCCCTTAGACCAGTGCATTTTCATGACTTCTTGGGTTATGGTAAGTTCTGTGCAGGTCCCCTGAATCCCAAGGGGGGAAAAAAATGTTTCTCTTTCCATTGCCTCTGAGACCTGGCTGTAGGTCTGCTCTTTGCTCCTTTCAGGGTCTTGCTGTTTCTGGACATGCATAATAGAGTTTCCCATAAAGCCTTTCCCTGCTCTGTCTTACAGCCAGACATGTTCAGTGGTTAGCAGGGAAGAAACAATTCCTCTTTCCTCTTCCTGCCTTACCTTATGCGCCCTGTGCACACAGGTAGCCTTGCTCTCTGTTTTCCAGTCCCAGCCCTTTTCACAGAACATAAACGGCTGCTAACTGTGAATAAACAACTAAGACACATACTGTCTGTTTTAGGGGCTGTAAGCACTGTAGAGCCCAAATAATATATGAATATTAATAGAATGACTGTAACAATGTAATAGAAGCAAAAAAATAAATGTCCTCAGGAGCATGATAATCTAACTTCAAAAGCAATTACCATCAGTAACAAAATACAGAGAGAAGACTAGGATTACTTTAATTAGATTACCTGCTTATTGCCATTTGTTTCTGTGGGTGACTGTAATGCTGCTTCACCTTCACTCTCAGCCAGTTTCTCAGATGCTTCTCACCCTGAGCATTGGCAGACCAAGCTGGACTGTGAAGCTGGGGCTCACTGGCCTTCCTGTGGGATTCAGCATATCTCTGTGAGCACCTGCTCTTTGGTCATCAGCCTCCCCTACTCTTGTGCCTGTTTTTCCATGCCCTGTGGCCTCATATCCATGGTGGAAAAGGCAGGAATGGGAGGACATGGAAGGGTGAGGAAAGCTGGTGTCTTTGTGGAGATGGAAGGATAGTAGGGAAAATAATCGTAAGGTCAGTGTTGTAAGACAAAGGCAGAGACTTGATGATTATGGAGGCTCTTTAAAAATTCAGCTTTATCCAGCAGGTGAGGGAGAGTGGACATAGGCTCAGTAATGCAGCACATGGGCAATAGTGCAAGGAGTTCTCCTGTAGCTTCCTGGAGCCCCTTAACCCAACCAATGGCCAGTGCGCATGCCCTTTTCACTCTATCTTCAACGCTGCCCCATGTCCCTGTGGCACATGAGTTCCAGACCTTGATCACTGGTACATTCAGTAGTCATGCACTTGCGTGGAGAGTCTGTAGGGAGGTAGGCATGTGCCCAGGGGGACCAAGGCTCATACAGTTGAGAGGTACAGATGGTGAGATGGAAAGACTGCTGAGAGCAACAGTGATGTCTCTGGAGAGACCACATTAAATCTCACCAGGGATGAGCACACCAGCTCTGTGCATGAAGGAGAGAGTGGTTCTTTTCTTGTGTTGGAGGCAGCATAGGGAAGAGTAACTGTCTGCTTCTGCTTGTGAGGCTATCTGTACATGTAAGTCGATGTTCAGCTAGATAGATAAAAAAATGTAGGTATAGATGCAGTTCTGTTCCAAACAGACAAATGTGTAGCCCCTGGTGTCTGGAGGACATAAAAGGCTCTTCCAGAACTTACTGTAGATCTCATCAGGGCTCTCAACCCACAACTCATTTGCCTAGCTGTACCTGCACAACAAAAAAATAGGACCTTCCTTATTATTCTTGGAGAAAGTAAAAAAGGACCAGGACACAGCTAATAAATAAAACAGGTTTAATCATAAACCAGGTACATATTTATAGATAGGAAGGGGGGCAAGGTCTGAAAGGTGCTGCCCTGGCAACAGGAATAGAAGAACAGTGTATTTTACCAGTCAATATACAGTACCAATGAAGGGTGGAGGTGATAAATGAATATGGGATTTTGAGTCCCAGAGGCTAATTTTTACAGACAACCATTATTCTTGGTTTCCTGTCAAATTATAGCATGAAGTAGCTCGCAGCTCTGCCCAGGACACAGCAAGGCAGATACAGCCAAAAACAGAATTTGAGGGTGAGGGAGGGACAAGATATCTGAAGGTCATTCTGAGGTATATATAATGTATATACTCTACTGTTGTGTACAGTCTTGGGGCCATGCTTTGCCCACAGTTATGTGTGCACACATCTCGTTCCAGTCAGCGAGAGCAGCAAGCTCACATCTGAGAGAATATATTTGGTTTTGAGGGCATACGGGAGCACACTGAACAACAACGCCAGAAGCAGAACAGGGAGAGAGCTGAAGACAAAGAAGCCTGGACTGGGCTGAGAAAGGGAAGAAGTGAACCGATGGCCCCAGATTTAGCTGGCCAGCCAGTTCATCCCTGTTTGGACAGCCAGCACAAAGCTTCTGTTCTGAAGGACTTCTGCAGTGCAAAGGTTTCCATTAAGGCAACCTTTATCAGACAACAGGGAAAACCATGAAGAAAATGGCTAGAGGCATGTTATCAGAAGAAATATGATGGAGCTGGCCCTACAACCGTTCAGTTCTTAATTTTGAAGGAAAACCCAATCCCGCCTCTGAAGTCGTCTAAGCCAACATATGGATCTGGTCAGTCTCGGCTGATACAGGCAGAGGAAGGAATCATTGCTTCAGTGGCCAGCAAGGCAAAGGGTGGCATTTGTACTATGGTACTCAGAGTTGGTGTGGCTGCTTTGAGAAACAATATCACACCAGGCTTGCAAAGCAGTCAAATGTATTGGCTTTTTGCAGAATAATTTCACTTTCAATCAATGTACATATTATATAGTTTTACAGATGAAAAACAACTTTCACTGATGGAAAGTGGACACTTGTTTTGATATCAAACACACTTGCCATCTGATTTTGCTAAGACCCCACCCCCAGACAATTAAAAAAACTAATCCCAAATAAAATCTATAATACAAAACAACATTCATGTTGATGTCAAGTGATAACTGTCCCAGCAAACATAAAATCAAGATCTTCTTAATGCAGGTCCCCTCAGAAGCAAGTTAGAGTCATGTGTCCTTATATAGAGTCCACTCCCAATCTGGGAAACCTCTGTAAGACTGTTGCCCTTTGAAATGCAAGTCCCACTTTTTTTAAATGAGTGCTCCACACATGCATGCACACATACACACAGACACACAGAGCTACACACACACATACACATAACCTCCTCTCTCTTAGCAAGAGCTGCATGCTGGGTAATTGTTAGTGCCTTCTGTGCATTTTTGACCTACTTTCTTTGTAAGGATGAGGTTGACATTTCTTTACTTCTCAGGTCTGTATTCTTTAAACAAAAAGGGGAATGAAGAACATTACAAAGACAGAGAAATGCACTCATATCTCAGGCATATGTTTTTTCCCAGTCATTTACAAGGACGAAGTTATTTACATTCATGACCCAGCAGAATCTGCAGGAAGAGTTATCCTTTCTCCATGTTGGGTTTTCTTGATGAACCCTGTGAGCCCATTCTGTGCTTCCACAGACCATTTTTCTTTAAGGCACTGCATGTGGATGATGACTTCAAACAGAAGTGCAAGCTCCCTTCACTGGATCGTGCATTTCTCCCTCTCCCTTGACTGACCTTCCCTGAGAACTTTCGATTTGATATACTTCAGGTCACTGTTGACGCTTGGCCGGCGAGCAAAGGGAGAGATCATGCCGTAGGCGTCCATGTCCTTGACTCGGCGCATCCGGAAGGATTTCTGTTGAAAGGTGTCACCATATTGGATGGAGATTTTTCTGTGGAGGGCAGGACTCATCTCATGAGGTAGCTTGGCCATGCTGAAGAGGACATAGAACATCTCATCCACATTGGTGTTCTTCTTGGCTGAAACTTCAAAGTAAGCACAGTTTTCATCACTGGAGACAAGGTTCTCGCCTTCATCTGAGCGTACCTTGCGGAAGATTTCACTGTGGTCATTTTTGTTGCCGCAGATCACCATGGGGAGGTCAGCTGATTCCTTGGTCTTGTTCTTCAGGCAGGATTTGACCTCAAGGATCTGCTTCTGGAGCCTCTTGACCTCATCAAAGGATTCTCTGTTGTCCAAGCTGAATACCAGGATGAAAACATCCCCTGCAATTAGAAAAGGATAATGTAAAGGCTTGTTGTTGCAGTTTGTGTCAGAGGAGCTAATTTTCAAAAAACAATAGGTTTGTCTGCCATCTCTTCCCCATATTTTTTGTTTGGTCCTTTTGAATCTGTTCATTAAGCTGCACTTTAGTTCCAGTTCTTCTAATTCAACTCCCCACTCCTTTCTGTAGTGCTATGGAAAAGACTTTTGGCTATGATGTCATATATATGCAGCCATATCCAATCATGTGGTTCTAGATTGTACTGGACTTGGAAACTATTGCCCATTTGTACTCTCTTTTGTAAACATGTTTCCATCTCAGCTCTGCTGTATTGCTTATCTTTTTTTCTTCGTTTTGTTTCTTTTGTGTAAAACAGAGCCTGTTCTGACATCAGGAGGAACGGAGAGCTAGTAGCCACTCAGCCTTGGCCTTTTGATTATACAATGCAAGAAGCAACACCTGAACTTAAGATTTACAGCTAGTCAGTCAGGACTAAGAACGCCTAAGTCAGGAACGAGGGGTTTCCCAATGTGCAGTGCTCTGCTGTCATTTCATTTGCTCGAGAGAAACAGACCATGGAAAAAAAGAAATACATAAATGACACAGATCCCCTGGCATTTCCTTTTGACATTTCCTGACTTACAATTCCTTTTGCAAATATAAAATAACACAAATCGTTGCCTGTTGAATGACATTCATGTGGAACATGCTAAGGGAGCTTTCAGGGACAAAGGCTCACATCTGCATCCCAGAAACTGGCCCTAGGACCTCACTGAATGTGGATGCTAGTCTGGTCAGATGTGAATGTCATATTTCACTGGCTAGCTAGAAGGGTAGAGAGCAAATCCCAAAAGCAGGTTTGTTGTGAGCTGTGGCTGAATATATCTCCACTGTCACTTTCACAGTTAGAGAATACATTTTAGCTCACACCAGGAACGGCCTGACAATGAGAACATACAAAATCAGCCCACCGTTTTTCCTTTTTCCTCTTGAATTGATTTGATTAACCATAGACTAAGGAGAAAGGGTAAAAGTAGAGCTGTCCTTTTACTGGAATATCAAATCAAGGGAATCAGGCTGGAAATTTCAGGGAAAAAAAAAATCTTTCAGATTTTCTTGGTTTGAATTCCGTTCCTGTGCATTTTACATTTGTTTTTCACTGCTTGTGTCTTATAATGACATGCTTACTTTGTCCCTTGCTGCTCTTTATGCCCACAGGATTTTATTCAGCCATTCGTTTGTGACTGCAATAAAAAATATAGAGCAGGAGGGGAAGGTAGGAGGGAAATAAACTAGGGGGAAATCTCAATTTCAGACCTTCACCCAGTGGACTTCTCTGTGGCTAATGCATTCCCTGTAGTGCCTGGAACATCCTGGCCAGGAAATACCTCTCTAGAGAAGTTCATCTTGCAACAAAATCAAGCAGTTCCTTTAGCTACCTCCTAAGAAAGAGTCATCTCCAGGCTACAGTTTTCAAGCTAATATCTATCATTATGATCTTTTCACCCACCATTCCCCATCTGCAAATTTCCCCCCACTTCTCACCTGTCAGGATGGAAAGCCTCCTCATAGCAGGGAAAGGGTGATTCCCAGAGGTGTCCAGGATGTCCAGCTGATACATGTCTCCCCGGATATTGTAGACCTTGCGATGAAAATCCTCAATGGTGGGAGTGTACTGGTCCTCAAACCGGCCATTGAGAAAGCGTGAGACAATAGAGCTTTTCCCCACCCTGGAGGCTCCCAGCACTACCATGCGGTACGAGTTCTTGGCTGGCACATTCAGGGTGCAGTTTCCACCAGACATGGTCTTCATCATTGCTTGGTCCTGAAAGAGGAAATGGCAGTGTTGGAGGAAAGACCAGAAACTATATGGAGGATGGAGTAGGGCAGCTCCTTACCACAAGCTTGTCAAAGAGTTCTCTAGAGCACAGTCATCAGTAGATCAATGGTGCATACAGAAATCTTTTTACTGGAAATGCTTAATTTTTTTAGTGTCATTTCCAGGGAGTAGGGGTTTTTTTGTTGTTGGGTTTTTTTTCTTTCCGTTTAAAGTTATATAAAAATGAAGGCATTTACACTGAAAATAGCAGTTTTGAATTGTAATTTACCATTTCATTTAAACATTAAGGGCTAATTTTATCAGCTGTGCTTCAACTTAGACACCAGGTTCCTTCCCACCATCTGCGTCACTTAGACATTACCAGATTTTTCTGTAGAGCTTGGTTCTCATTTAGATACATAAACACAGAGGTCAGATTTCCCAATATACTGCATCCACTGCAGCTGCCATTAGGACCTAGACCTCTTTGTTTGGTTCCCTAAATAGGAGCTGCGCACAATACTCATTTTGAGATCAACCAGAAGTCAGACAAAAACAAGAATCGTGCTTGACATCAGTGAAAGCTAGACATCTCAGTAACTTCAAATAGCTGGTCCCATACAACTTTCATTGCTGATGCAGGGACTTTGAGCCACAAAATAGCATTGGCCAATGATAAATTCTAAGATCTGTGCCTTCAGTGACCTTTTAGAAACGAGATTTTAATCTTGCTGTTTGGACTGGTAGTGTGGGAACTCCCTATCAACAAACTATCATCATTGCAGCAGGATGGCTGGCAATGAATGGAGCTGCAGAAATGTAGATTTCATAGGAGTTTCAGTCTTTATACATACGCAGCTGTTGTGGGTGTCACAGTCTTTGTGAGTGCTAAGTTGAAGCAGGAGAAAAGATGAAGGACAGCCATCTTAAATAGCTATTAGGCAAGATTTCCAACCCCTGACAACTAAAATGAGTCTTGAGACCTTGGAGATTGCATTTTGGTATAGCACTCAGGTGCAGAAAACTTTGATATGAAAAAAAAAAAAGAGTGTTTCTGAGCCATTTTTCAGGTACCAGTTCAAATGAATTGTGTGCTGAAAGGAAAAATATAACTGTTGTGTGGGGAAAGCTAACCATTACAGCAAAGAAGGCACATTTTTGACAGAGTTTATTTTGGTTACTAGGATCTCATTAAAGAATAATCAAATTCCCACTGTGCAGTTTATTTAACTTAGGTGTTGTTTATTTAATATTACAGTGCGAGTACTTTATGTGCACTGAAAGATCATTTCTGGGTCCAGATCTGGATTCCTGTCTTTCCCCCAAGTGAATTTTATCTCTGACACTTATCTCAGTCAAAAGCTTAAAATCTTTTACTTTGTTTAACATGTGCTAAGCACCAAAGCAGCAGTGAAGATATGGTCACTGCTAAATAAAGAAGTCCCTGGAATTCTGATCCAGCATCATTACAAGCGCTGTGCTATAGCCCAGGGCAACAGCAAAACACTGCTATTTATTATTATTGCTATAATTTGCTGCACGCCAACAGCACATACAGCCCTATCTAAGCACAGAAGAAAATTCAGTGCTTTCCTCAGAGTAGCTTACACTGTGAACTATATTCAGCGAGCAGGACAGCATAATATTAGAGCCAGACGTAAATGTCAGAACGTAACTTTGGACGGACACACACATGCAGAGTTATGGTGCTGTTGGGATTTCTGTGGTGGGAATGAGAGCAAGGAGCACACCTGGTATTTGAACTGGACTCCACATTTTCTTTAGAACAGGACCTATCTCCAACAGTGCAGAAACAGCATATTCTGTCTCTGAAACAATACTGCCATGTACACTATCTCTGCCCTTTCTTGTGTAGCCAGTCTTGCATCCATGGGCAGACAAATGGTGACAGAGCTGCTATGGGATGCTTCCTTTCACCCTCTCAGGCTTCATTTACCTGGCAGAGAAAAGCAGGGACATGGATTTTGTGAGAAAAACTACAAAACTCTCTACAGCCCAGGATCAGTATTTAGAAATGAGTCAGCTCTTCAGACTGGGATGGACCAGTGTAGCTGCATGAGGGCAAGTGGACTGTGTTGGTTCACACCCGATGAAGATCAGTTTCATACAACTTGGTGTGGCAGAATCTGGGAGTGAGCACAGTTACGCTTTTTAAGCAAATGCCTTATATGTCCTGTAAAGAGCACACATGCTGGGGGACCTGATCCTGGCCATCAGCTTTACAAGCCAAAATCCTACAAATTATACTGCTGACCGGCAGGCAACCACCGAGCTGCTGGTCATTAGAGAAACTCCCATCACACAGCAAAGGAGGTGACTACGTCACTGCAGCTGCTTGGAGGTTTGATTTTGCACCTTTAGTGCAAGAGGCACGTCTGTCCTCCACTTGGAAATTAATTCCACTGCTCTGGACCTCAGTTGATGCCACTCTACACTGAACAGCTTGGAGAAGGAATTGCTACCACTGCTACCTGCAGACGGGGAAGAGTAAGGCACAAGGAAGCTGAGTGACCACCCCAGGTCCAACAAATGGGAAATGTGAACAGACTCTGGGACTCCTACCTTTCAAACTCTTTCTCCTTCCCACCTTTCCTTACCCTTTCATCTCTGGTCATTAAATCACACTGCCTCCCATCCCCATCAAAGGCAAAATACTATGTGCAGACATGTGCTCATTTCAGGACTCTTTGTCCCAAGGATGTAGATGCCCTGAAGGGGGAAAAGGGGTGTGAGGACATGCAGATTTTAATGTATTAAATAGTCACTTTATGCTGTCCTTGTTTCATCTGTCAAGGCATTCAGTCAGGAGGACTCTTGTGCTTTCCTGACTGTGTTTCATTTCACACAGAGTCAAAAGATGCTTTTCAGCACTTTGATTCATGGAGTTGCTACTCATCTCATCACCTCTGCTGCAAATCTGACTCAGAGCGTGCCGTTGAACCAGGAGTTTACATTTGTGTTTTGTGCTCTCTCTTCTTATCCCCCCACTCCAGTTTTTCTCCAGTTCAATACAGTCTGCCTTCTTTCCTCCTCAGAAAAAAGAATGAAACTTCAGCCTTCACACCCAGGGGCTAGGGGGGAGCACAGGGACTCATACATTGAAAAAGATTAAAGGCAGAAGAAAGGAAACAGAAAGACACCACATGTTCATGTACTAAATAAAGCAAAATCAATCAGAAGAGAACAAGGAGACAAACAACCTCCAGCTGGCTTTAATCTACATCTTTTCCTTCCAGTTTATTAAATGCTTAAGCATAGATTAATTCCCAGTGGTTCCTTCTGCTTTATGCACTGGCTTGATGCTAGAAACTCTACATTAGTATTTTTTATTGGTACAGCACAGGGATTTCAAAATGTCATAGAAATGTAGGCAATGAGTGTTATATCCACTTAATAAAGGGAAAGGCTCATATGCCCAGAGAGACCTGAAACAGCTGTCCAAAATCAACCATTTCTTTTGACTCCCTGTGTTGTCTTCTACCTGCTAACCACTGCTGCTTGTTTCAGAGGCAGACATTGGAGTGAATGACAATGCAGCTGCTTTTGCATGCTCTGAAGAGCACTTGTCTTAATTCCAGTGAGGTGCTGACAAATTTGATCCTGAACATCTGGAGAGAAATATCTAAGGAAGACATTCTTCATTCAACCTGCCTAGAGCTGTCACACCTTAGGTTTTCATCCTCCCATCAGGGGGTATGCTGCCTACCACTCCCTATCCAGGAACAGACTTCTGAACTACCTCTCTTGCACTCCACAGTCTTCAGCTACTGTTTGTGTCTCTGTTTACCATCCCAATGTAATTCACTGCATCCAGCTAAAAAGGACATAGGCAGACACAACCTGTACCATGCATAACAGACCTGTCACTTGTTAATCACTACTAGTATCCCCATAATTTTCATGCACACCACAATCACACCTGTGGGATGTTAGTTTCCTACTTTCATCCCAAACTCCAGGCTGCTGTTGTCTTACCTCTCTTTTCTTGGAGGAGCAGTCTTGGGTCTTGGTGCAGTCTGATGAAGCTGATAATTTTAATCAGAGGCGGCTGCTGCTGTAAAAGGCTGTTGTTCTGTGGATCCCACGTTGCTTGCTCTGGGCTCAGTTCTTCACCAGTATTTTGCAGGAACTTAGCAAGATTGGGAAGGACTGCAGGGCTCCAGAGGGCATTCCCCCATGGATGGTAAGTACTGGATCAGGCGACCGACATGGGCTAAAGAAGGGTCTCGGAACAAGTGGTAGCTTTTCCCTTTGGTGAGATGAGTTCTTCTCCTCACAGCCTCAGTTTGAGAGAAGGAGAGGCAGAGTCTCTCCCACTCCCACTGGATTTTCTTGCAAGTTGTGCTTTGTAGGCTCTGCTGTGGGGAAGGGGTCTCTGGAGCGACACCTAGTCGTGCAGGGTCATGGGTGCATCCTGCTGGCCCACCCTGCCTCTATGCTGCCTCAGACCCTATGGGGAAAAATCAGTGGGGGCATGGAAGTTGTCTATGGCAAACCTACACTTCCCCAGCCCTTGCCTGGCACAACCCCCACCACGAGCTTCTTTTCTTCTGGTCTGGGATTTGCTTTAAAATATTCTCTTTCTAGGACAGAAGGGGCTTTTCTTTACATTTGCCAATTAAGTCTTTCTTCTTCCCTCCCTGCCTTTCTCCCTGTCGCTCTCACAACTACTGGCAAATTGCAGATTTTCCTTCTGTAGGACTCACAGATAATTGGCTCAACTCCTCCCTTGAAGTCAGTGTCAGACACAGGGGAAGGAGGGGTGCTGAGGGGGTGGGATTTTGTGCCTATTGAAAAAATCTTTTCTTTTCTCCTCTAAACAGAAAGTTCATATGCATTGCAGACTGCACATTCCCCATCTTTCCACCAGAGACCTGTATGTATGCATGCGTGGGAAATGAGTTAGTGTATGTGTACGAGAGACACAGAGACTTCACTTACTTTGCAAGCTGTAAATTCATAGACTGTTTCTAAAGGCGTTATACTTCTGTGCTGATCTTTTCTGCTAGGCAGAAGCAGACTGACTCATTTCCCAAGTAGGGGCTTTCTGTCCATAATTCCTGTAATTCTTCTGCCGTATGGAATTCTTTCTCCTGTTCCCTCAACCTCAGAGATGTTACGTTAGGATTGCTGGTTGGTTTGATTAAGAAATAAGAATAATGTGTAACTGCTGTTCTTTCATTAATATTTAAATAAATGAAAAACGAAACTAGAACTGGGTAATAAAAATGTAAAAAAAAGGTCAAACAAACTGAAAGTGTGGGGGACTGAGGGTCAGAAAAAGAAGAGAAACAAAAGAAAATTAGGTTGAATTCAAGGAGTTTGTTCAACCCCAAGTGAAAAATCCTGTTTGCAGTTTTTTTCACTGTTTATTGACTCTAATTTTTTCTTCTTTTTGAGCTGAAGTAATAGTTTAGATCTACAAGCCTATTTTAAAAGATGTTAAAAAGATTGGTTATGAAAGATTTGAAATTAAGTATTTCAGCATTTCCCACTTAAAACTCCTAATCAGAGGGGGGAAAAAAAGGAGGAAGAAAAACACTTTGAGATTTTCAAGATATTTTGACAATAAGAAAATGGAAGGGAGGCTCAGTCTCCCAAACCCAAATATATTTTCAGGACTCCCACAATTCTCTCTCTTTCACTTTGAGCAAAAGTACTCTTCATTGAACACAAAGATTCCTCGAACTACCTTGTCTGTTTCACCTCCAGACCCTCCCAACAATTCCTGCAGCTTTTGAGGAATCTCTGAGGTGCTTTGCTTTTTCTCCTCCTTCTTCTTAAAGCACAAGGAGATTTCTGTTGTCACCCTCAGAGTAATGCTTCCCTCCTTCGCCCGTGCTCCCGGCATGGCACAGCAGCCATCAGTAGCCATCAGCACCCATTGAGGAGGGTGCCATGGCTGTTGCAGGCACACGGTCTGACATGCTGGTATGTCTCTCTGTGCCAACAGACTTTGAAAGCCACAACACAGGTTATGAGAAGGGTCCTGCTGTAACCATCTGCGAGAGGCAGCAGCTCCCAGTAAGGCCAGGCCTGAGCAGGAGGTGGATTTGGGGCTTCCAGGCTAACACAAAGGCAAACCACCATTGATCAAATTTGGGAAGCAGCAGCTCCTGGCTTCCTCCTAAAGCAGGCAACCTTAGATTTGGAAAGGAAGAGCATGGCTTGGCACAGCACCATTGAAACACCACTGGCTTCTTCCAAAGGTAGAACTGGTAATGGGTCATGACATGAACTCAGCTCTTTTTAGACCACAACACCAAGACTCCATTGTCAGCTCTTGAGCCTTTTCTCTTTGGCAAAAAGTAGAGGAGTATTTTTATGGCTCAGACAAATTTTTGAAATAAGATATGATGCTTTCCATTCCCAAGTCATTGGTTCAGATCAAACCTGGACCAAAGCTGCTATCTTTGGTGTCTGGTCAACTATTTGTGTAGCTTAGATCCAAACAGAGCAACCAGCATCCTGGTATCATTGCCATGGGAAGAACTGCTGCAAAAATCAGCAAAGAAATCAAGTCCTATAGTGCTGCAGAGAATAAACTCCTCTTTCATCCCTATAGCTCACATGTCGAGCGTACAAGTTCTCTGCCAAAAAAGAAAGAAGTGTAGTCATCATGGAGACCATCTCATCAGCCTGGAATCTCAGCCTACTCAAGCTCTTTTGTAAACCAAATGCAAAACTCTTGCCTAGCTGGCTTCACCAAGCCCAAAATCCCACTCAGCTGTCTTCACCAGCATTTAAACTAGCCAGTCGAGTTCCTCAAATTATACAAAAGTAAAATAGGAACATACTTGACCAGGCACCTTGGCTTTATTTGATTTCTCAGCAAACGGCTAATAAAATAATAAATTACTTTTGAAGTAAGCCTTTTAAAGATAATTGCTAACTATGAGCCTTCAGAGGCTTGAGAGATGTTGCTGTAGCTTTTTCAGTTGTTTCTTTTTTGCTTCATTTTTTCTGGTGTGCTCCTAGTTCAGGAGTTGACAAAAAACTGGGCTTTCATGCCTTCCTTCAGGGCTCAGGAGACCAGAGCTCAAAATTTCCTGCTTTTCCTATGGCGTCCTGAGGGGCTCTGGTGGAGAAGTCACATTAATTCTGTATATCTGCCCCCATCTGAGAAGTAGGGGTGGAAGCACCTCTTTGCTTTTAGGGTTATAAAGGAAATAAGTAGATCAGAGAGACAAAGCCACTGCCAAAACATGAGAAAAAGTTCCCAGTCTCAGCAGTTTCCCCTGGTTAGTCAGAGACCATCAGCCTTTCTCAGAGGTTGCAGATATTTACCAATTTAAAAGCCAGGCTTACAACAAATTACTCTCTGGAGGCATTTTTCCCTCCTATTCCTCCAGTCTATAAAGAAAGCCTAAATGACATTTTCATCTGGCTAAAGCTGTCTCAGAGGATGACAGGCTGTGGCTGCAGAGAATGACCACCGCTACGAAGGGTTGTGCCTGCCTCGCTGGGTGACACTGGCCATGGCTTATGGTGCAGTCCTTGAGTCTGGGTGTCCAGTGTGAGAGACAAGAGAAACAGAACATGTGGCAGATGAGTTAAATCAACTGAACAATATGGTTTATATAGGACTAACTGAAAGCAAATGACCTCATTGGTGCAGCGGCTCATCAGCACGTATAGCTGTCATCTCTGAGGCTGGCATGGGGGTCCTGCCAGCCCATCCATGGGGCTGCCTCATCTGTGGAAGGTGCTGCAGATGGTGCAGCTGTGGCAGGTGGACAAGACAGCTGTGCTTATTTCAGCTCTGCCTAGACCGTGGGTGAGCAGAGAGGGGTGACTTCAGAGGGCAAGTCAAGGCAAGGGGAGAGAAATGTTGCAGGGAGAGGCTGGGTAGAAAGATGTACAGCGGAATGGGGAGAGACAAGGGGAAAACACTGCTCTTAATGTGTTGTGCTAATCACCTGGCTCCAAACAGTGGTGAAGACCTAAATTGAAATGACTTACTCTATGGTGGGACACCTGAGTGGGCAACTGCTCCTCAGACCCATCAGAGGAGCTTCCTCCTCTCCAAAGAAAGGTGCAGCTCCCACGTGGCACACACGCTGACCACCCTAGCAGGGGGATCTTGGGCAGCATGGGCTTGTGGGGCAGAAGTGTCACTGTCACGAGGAATGTTATACCTTCTGCAGCTCCAGGTAGTGTCTGCGGCTGGAGGTGGAGACAGATAGAGACTGATGTGATGGGCTGATGCAGCAGGACCAGCCTTTTTCTCTCCACCTTAAGGCACACGACAGAACTGACAATCACATACTGTTCAGCTCTGGTCAGAATTAGTTCAAGACAAAAGATGTTCCAAGGCTTTTGTCTCCTCTTCAAAAGCAAATGCAACAGAGATTAAATATTTAAACCAGCTTTTCTTTCTCTCTTCCCATTCATTTTCACTCCCCTCATTATTCAGTAAAGCAGGCTCATTTTTCCACCCCCTCACCTTCCCTCCCTCCCTCCCACATTCATTTTTCCTGCTTGGTGCCCCTCCCTTCAAGCAATGCTGAAAAGTTAGTGTTCAGGAGTCAGTAAACTGCAGGTACCAAGTCATATTCTGAACAGCAAGTAGATGAGCAGCCACAAGTATTACTGCCCCTTCATTACCTGTACCCCCCGGACATTTAAACTCAGTGAAGGGCTCTCCAGGGGTGTTACAGTGACTGGGAAAACAAGTAATGATCATCAGTTACCAGTGACAACAGTAATACTTGGGAGAATACAGCTGGAGAAGGCATACATTTGAGAAAATGGTGGTCTGACTTATATTCCTGGTCCTTTCACAGAATCTGTGTATGACTGTAATTTCTCAGTGTCCCAGGGTGTAAAATGGGTTAATAATATTTACTGAGATCCTGCAAAATGGAAAAGCACTGCTTTGCTGTGAAAAATGTCCAAGTGACCTCTTATTTGCTGCATTTGCTGTGAATCATTTTTAATTACATTTTAATGAAATATTTTTGAAAAAAAACTGCATTCCTAGTCCCCCTCCTTTCCTTTTGCCACTGGCACAGCATGTCCAGATTTCCTCACCGGACATGCATGTGACCTTTCATTTTCATTCCACTGTTGAAAGTTTTTAAAACTTTCCCCAGCTTTGAAAAATT